AATGAAAACACCCCCCGGGGGCAGGCCACTACAAACAACCACCCCCCCCCCCCCCCCGGCTCTGTGTTTTTTTTTTTTTTTTTTTGGGGGGGGGGGGGGGGGCCCATATGTATTCAGCCCCCCTCCTACTCTCTCCTTTCGAATACAACCTGTACCTCGCAGAGGACCTCACGAAAACAACTTGCCTCGGTGGACTAAGACATAGACAGTCTGGAAGTTTTCCTAGCAGACTAGGGAGTAGTCAAGTTGGAAGAGGAAGATGGTGGTCATGTGTGACTTGGTGGCTGCAAAAGACTTCAGGATGTGATACACAATGGCTGTCGCATCACGTAGCATCATGGAAGTTTGTGCGCTGGTTATGATAAAAATTATGACATTTTTTGGACAGATACCATCATGTCGTGTTCCTCGTCGAGGAGACATGTTCCCCTTGCATTATGGATCTGGGTTTCATGGCTGTTGGCCGACAGGGGAGAGGACCTGGCACAATATCTTCACCGATGCATTCCAGTCTAGGCAAGGATGGAGGGGCATTCGGAGGCTAAAGTGCACTCGATGCAATACATGAAATGTACTTTTAATACCTATGGAAGATCACTGCATGGCGCACGAGGACTTCCAATGTCACTTCAGCTCCCTCCACAACAAGTAGTTCACAAGAGTTACTTTCGCCCCTACCCCACTGGTGGGCTTGAAAACGGAGTTATTCATGGTCTCCTTGAGATGCTGGGAATTGAAATCAAGGATAAATAGCTCCGACCAGCATACAAACATCGCGAACAGTTCGCCCAATGGAAAGACAAATGGGAACGATAGTCCCCATCGACGTGAGAGGAATCACAATACCTCCTATAACAAACTCCTTTTCTCCGGAGTTACATCCCAGGGAGGGCAGACCTGGCAAATGTCAACAAGGAGGGTGTTCTGATCTGACAGCCCAAAACCACACCGAAGGGGCGGAAGTCATCCCAGTGCGAATGGCTGAGGAGAGACCATGTCGTTTGGGGGAACCCTAGAGAGACGCAGATAGGTAGTAGGTATTCACCAGGGCAGGCACACATAAGGCACCGAAGTACCTTATCTTGGGACCCAAAAAGCATACATCCATATTCACTTCAGAAGGGAAGCACCTGAGGCTGAGTGAATACTCAGAAGGCCATTCACTCGCCCGTTCACCGCTTTCGGCTTCGTGCCTATAGATATTTTCCTCATCCTCATTTTCTCGCTTTTCTTCCTCACCGAGATTCGATTTTGAGAAACGAAAAATCCCACCCAAATCTCCTCTTGATCATCAACATCACCACCATCGCCAGGACCATCAATTATCAATTATCATCATCAACAACAAATACTACCATCACCATGAATACTAACACTCAGGTTGATGTCACTTCGGGCGGAATCGCCCTCTCCATCCTCAGCACCCCATTCACGCCCCTCATCCCGACCTCGGGCCCGCTGAAGCCCTTCTCCCATACCTTCCTTGCCACCTTCCCGGCAATCCTCCCAGCGGCCAAGCCCGAACCGGGCAAGTCTGCTCCTGTGTCCGCCTCGACGGACCCAGCTGTCACCATCGTCGCCGCCGACTGGTCTTTCGAGACCGAAGTCGAAGGAAAGCCGCCGAGGCTCACACACTCGCGCAGCTCTTCGGTGAGGTATGTATATAACCCCCTTCTAATACACTCCACTCCATCTTCCCTCGCCCCGGACCTGATGCTAACCTCCCACATCAGCACCGTCGCACGTAGCGACATTTTCGACCGGGACGACTCCAGCGAGACCAGCGAGTCGTCCTTCGAGGACCAGGCCCTCGAGCCCTCATCCTGCGCCGCCGTCCCCGCCGGCGAAGAACAAAAAGAGAAGAAGAAATGTGCCGCCATCCCCGCCCTCGAGACGGCGAATCCCACCCTCGCTGCCCATGACGACGATGACGACGACGAGGAGGAAGACGGCCCGGTGCTCTTCGGCTGGGACCAGCTCGCTGCCGTCGCGGCGGACGTCGCACCCTAGGAGGGCGACGACGCTGACGACGACGACGACGACGACGACGACGACGACGACGACGACAACGAAGCGGCCGAGGAGGAGCAGCAGCCGGAGTTCAACTGGCTCCAGCACTTTTATTTCGGCATGGACGGAAGCCTCGGCATCCACGCGGAGTACGAGAACGACTACATCCGCATGGAGGGTCACCGGCTTGCGGCCTGCCGGTGGCAGAGGTTCCGGGCGCCGGTAGACCCCCCGAGGGGAGGCGCGCCTGCGTTGGTGTTGACGACGCCGGAGGGGGAGGAGTTTTATCTAGATGACCTGGCGTATTATCCCGGGGCGACCAGCTGGGCGGATATGGATGATGAGGAGGAGTGGTAGAGGGGGGTTGTCCCTGGAGAAGGGAGATGGAGCAGAGAAGGCATGGCTTGTGCCAATATTAGTGTCGTGGAGACCTACGGTGGCGTTTTTATTTTTATTTTTCGTTTGGCACGGTACCGTAATCATCAATGGAGAGAGGTGTACCACATCGAGTTCACACGTAATAATTCCCGAGGTCATGGCTGAAGATCTGAAGATGTAGTAATCGCCCAGCTGTGCAAATGCAGTGAAACCCCAACCTCGCACTTGAGTCTGTTCAGAACCATACTTGGAATGCCCCGATTCACCATGTAGTCCCCGCTGATGAGCGGCGACACATCCTCCCATCTGCAAATAAGGGGATGGGTTTTTTTCGGACATCCTCCAAGAGAGCCCCCCAAAGCCGCCTGGCGATACCCAAGCACTCATTCCTGCCACCACACCGGCAAGAACTTCGGGAACGGGGGCAAATTGCAAGTCGTCGTCATAAAATCATTATGCATTAATTATCAGGTATGGTATCGCTGTCTAATATCGTATGTAACATAACTCCGTGGATGAATCCATTGATCAAATCTCCGCCTCCATCTCACGCCACAGCAGTGATTTCGTACGGCTTGAGGGGAAGGTCCACAGGCGCGCACTTGACGGTCCTGTCCGAGTAGATGTCCCCCATCGTCCAGTTGGGGTTCTGCCATGTCGTGTCGGTGCACTCGAGCGTCAGGTTCACGGTGCCCGCGGCCCAGAAGGTGATGCTGTTCCTCAGACGTTAGCTGTTCCGGTCCCAACGCGTGGATTCTCCGGACACAACTTACGGGTACTGCGGGTCCTGGTCATCGCACGACCATGTCTGGTTGACGTCCAGCTGCCCCGAGGCGCGGTTGAAGGCAAAGGTGGCGTCGCCGCCGCCGTCAGCGCCGTCGGGAACGGAGCAGTTGTACCACAGGTTCCCGTAGAAGAAGTCGCTGAGCTGGTTGCTGGTGGCGCTGCAGGCGGCGCGGTAGGGCAGGGCCGGGTTGGAGAGGTTGAAGCTGGCGTAGCCCCACGAGTTCTGGTGCGCCGGCGTCGTGAAGATGTACGACGCGTGGTAGTCGAAGCCCTCGACCTCCCAGCTGAAGTCGCCGAACGACGAGTCGGTGCAGCCTGTGGGATAGTCCCTGGCGGCGACGGGGGAGAGGGTGATGGGGCCGGCGGTGGCGAGAGGGAGTAGCGCCAGGAGGAGGGAGGAGGTGGCGGAGGGATGCATCGCTGGTGGGATCTTGGGTGTGGTGTGTTCTAAGAGTCGAATATTATTTCTTATTGCTCAAGGTGACCCGACTGCTTGTTAACTGGGTATCAGCAGATGAGAAGTCGAAAAGTATGATGATACCAAAAGCACCACTCAACTCGGCGCTCGGATGGTGGTCTTATATTGCGACGTTCCCTTTTCAAGCCCCCCACAGCTGCGGCGATGGGCTGCCTGCCCGGAAAAAGCGATTGATGACGATCCCTACGTAACGAAGCAAGGGTCCAGCAGGATCTCGTATCCGGCTGGTGGGAAACTTTGGACGTGCAGCGGCTTTTAGTGGGGTTGAGTGTGGCGGGGGGGTACTTGCTGCACCTGTGTCAAGCACGCCAGCTATTTTTATCCTCGGATGGGCCGTGGAAGCAGCTTGATTGAACCTCCAACCCCTCCATGATAGGGCTGACCGCTTCTTCAGAACTGCTATTTGCCGGTTCCTCGCATCATCGAGCCACAATACGATTCTGGATGGAGCCAGCCGACCTGAAGAAGTTCGGAAGGAGACATCCTTGGCGGGTGCTTCCTTCCTTCAGGTGACCGTTGGGCTGCAGGGTCACTGCCATACAGGGCAAATAGCGGGGTCTCATATGCCGGCAACGATGGCACTAACTGTTAACCTGGATCGAAGTGCCGATCCCCTCGTAAAATCATCGCCATGTGGGCTCACCAAGTAAGACCGAGCTTCTTCCGTCCAGCCACCACGTGGGGTAGACTGTGACACTGACGGCTTGACGTACGCCGAGACAACTGGCGGCCCGACAGACATACCGCATACCCATCACAAACATAGAACAGCGGACCAGTTGCAAGATCCCGCCTGGCGACATCACGAGCTTACCGAACACGGGCTCCCCTCCCAACCAACGAAGAGCCAATCGGGGTCCCCATAAAGGGAATTTCCAAGGGTCCATCAAGCCATACCCCAAACAAAGGAGCAATGAGTGACGTTCGACCCGGATTACAACCAACTTCTGGGAGATAAGACGGAGTAATGGATTGACCATGCCGTTGATGACTGACTGATGCGAAACCACAATCCATTAAATTTCCCACTAAAAGAAGTGGCAAAGTACCTAGCCATCACTTTATGGAACTGCTCATGAGTCAAACAATAGGATTGTAGGCACCAGATCGAGTCAAAGCCTGCAAACAAACCACAGACTGGCCCCACAAAGTTCGTCAAACGCCACAAATCAGAACCTGGTGATAGAAGTAGCGACACAAGACAAACTCTCAGCACAGCCCAAGAAGAGCATCAAGGAGGCTGCAGAGAATACCCACAACGTCGCAGACGACGTAGAGCTGGCCCCAAATATTGTCGTTGAGCACGCAGCCGACCCCGTTGGCGATGCAGCCGGACCCCAGCACCGAGAGGGAGAGGTTCAGGTCCAGATCCGCGTACGCGCCCACGAGGCAGTCGCTCTCGTCCTCGTCCTCGTCGACGCAGTGGAACGAGTTGAACACGTCGTCCTGGCAGAGCCTGTTCCGGAAGCATTGTAAGAGCGGGGGGGGGGGGGGGGGGGGGTGGAGCTTTTGATGCCGAAATGGAAAAAGGGGCCCCCCAACGTAGCTGGAAAAAAACCAAACACCCCCAAAACGTCCCGCGACTTCGCGCACAC